GGCAGGTACTAGATTGATATATTTTAAAAGTTTGATTACTAAATTATCGCGTTTTAAAATTCGGAGACCAAAGTGGCACGAGACTCAAAGTACAGGATACCAATCTTCTGAAATTTTCTCTAATTATTAACAACCATTTGTATAAGTACCAGATTTTAAGTAGACAAAAGAAAAAAGCAGCTTCATTGGGTAATTAATTCTAATTATTAGCTAAGAATTTTTGGAGGTTGATTCTTGTTTTCTAAATTGAAAGATGATTCCTTTTTCTCTTCAGCAAAGTAAGTTGGCCAATCAGACCGTTTTATATAGAAAATCTTAGATGGAAGTATGGAACCTACAGTTTTTTGTTTTTTTAATTCTGGGAGATGAAACCTGTAAACCGAACATTTAAAATATATTAGCTGAGTAACATATAGAGAGGTGTTAGTGTGCACCAAGTAAATAATTAATTATATCTTGATAAACGTGTCTTGTAATATGATTAGATCAGACATGTCGAACAACCCAATTCTATTCTACTTGTTATTTAGGCTCCACTTGTTTTGCTTAGTTTCTGCTTTCTTCAACAAATAAACAAACAAAACACAGTATAACTTGAAAATAAATAAATAAACAAATCAGAATTTGCACCCATTCAATCAGCTTTCTGATGGAAGCATTTCTGCATCTCTTATTTTCTTATTTTTTAAAAGAATGAAAACCTGACCAACAGTTCACTCCGACGTACGTCTCCTTTTCTTTCTTCCATCATACTTTGAAAAAAAAAATCACATTTCAAGAATCTAATTAAAATCTTATTACAACACACATACTTCTCAATTGTTTAATCTGCCATGATCACTTATTGTTTAAGATCAATATAAAAAAATCCACATGAAGATAACAGATACAAATAAAATAAAGCCTAAGTATCAGGGTCAAAATGGCTGATAGCACATACGTATGGACTAAGCGAAAGATGTCCTTTGGACTAATCTTTGTGCATTACACCCTCAAGTCATAGGTTCATACGGAAAGCTGGAAACCTATAATGTAAGCATAGAAGGTGATTTACCCTAATCAAAGCAAACATTTATAGCTGGAAACCTATAAACTCCTAATCAAAATATATTTAATATGATAAATTCATCCTAATCCAGGATTATGATGCACTGGTTCAGTGTATTTTTGTGCTTGAATATTTAATGAGAGAGAGAGAAGTGCCCATTTGGTTCGTGGGAATTGGGGTTTGGAATCATAATTGGAATAATTGACCATTGGATAGAATCGAAATCCCTTTCTTGGTGGATTCAGTGAAATGATATTCTCTCATTTGAAGGAATAGCCATTCCCTCCCCTCATTTTGAAATGAAATCCCATTCCAATTGAATTTAATTCCGACTCCGATTTTTGTATGAACCAAACAGACCATAGAAGGTGCAGAAGATGACAGGTGGGTGGTGTCATTTAAATTACCTATGGAAAGGTAGAGATGGGTTGAAGGAAACCCTCTGATAAACCAAGTAAATTCCTTCTTCAGCCTATGGAGAGTAATTAAAAGTCAAAGATATTATTGAGTATCAACCAAGTGCATTCAGATTTAGGCCCGTTTGGTTTGCGGGAATAGGGGTCTGTAACTGGAATTAGAATGGCTCCAACTATCTGGTTGGATAGAATCGGAATCTCATTCCCATTCTTGGTGGAATGGCATTCCCCCATTTGAGGGAATGGTCATTCCCTCTCCTTTCCCTTGAAAATGAAATCTTATTCCTGCTGATTCTAATTTTTATTTACATTCAAATTCCAACTACAAACCAAACAGACCATAAAATACTGCAAATTTTGAAATACACCAAAATCTAGTGTTTCATAACAGACAACCTAGAGCACTCAACAAACATTAATTTAGTATATTTTAACAAAATCCTCTATAGTTCAAATTTCAATGATTTTGGAACACACCGCACCAAAGATGTAAACAAGTCAAGTTATCCCTAAGCCACTCAAGTTAAACTCATTGAATGCTCGAATTCACATAGTAGATAATCCAGTTCAAGGCAAGCTCAAGTAGTTAATAATCGAGTTGAGGTCGAGTATCATAATATACTCAGTTCAAACAATTCATATGTCTAATATTTTACATAATAAAATATTAATTTTATAATATATTTTTATTTATAATATTGATCAATATATTATGTTATTTAATATTTTAAGATTCTTTTTCTTTTTACCTAGGGTTGCCTATACAAGTCGAGTCAAGTACAAAATTGACTTTAAAAATTTTCTTTAAATATCCCTAAGTTGTTTGACAATTTCCTAATTCCTAATGTTAGCATCTGTTAATGGAGAGATGAAGAAACCTATTTTACTGTCATTTTTCTTTAAATTTTCAAAATGCAACATTTGAATATAAACTTGTTGTTAACCGAAATGCAAGCATCAAACCTCCCAGTGTCCAGTGCTCCTGGCTACTAGCGATGACAATTGCTTCTCCCACCGTCAACCAAGTCCAGTGGTTGCCTCTTCAACTCTTTCTCTCTCATATGTTATTTCTTCAAACCCTGAATCATCTTTTACTAGTTGTTTAGTTTCTTACATTTGTTTTGATTTGTTCTATGTAAAACGAGTTTCAACTCAATCCATCTTAATGATGTTCATTTATTAATTACCGTATAACTCTGGACTCATCTTCCCAGCTCCATATTTATTCTGTTTCATGTTGCCTGATTTGTTGTTTAATTATATTTAGGTTCAGGTTTCTGTGAAATTTCATCTGGTTGTTTAATTGGGTTTTGCCTTTGCCTTCTATTTATTGTTATTTTTCGTAGCGCAGCGAATATGTTGAAGCATTTCATTGCGATTTCTTAGTATAAATAAAGCATATTGACTATTTAGTTTCATTGTCTAGAATATTGATCAATTCTGATTATCAACGTCGGAGATTGTTGAGTAGTGGCAGTGCTGGGGCATCTCACGGTCTTGTGTCCTCGAAGGAAAAAAGGAATTCATGGTGTACTCCATTTTATTTAAGCTTCCAGAGTTCAGTCCATTTGAGCTCCATTTTCTCAGAGAACAAAAAATGGTGTTTCAATTCCACAGGCTCAGCACCATTTTTCCCATAAAATGATGGGATGCTCCCACAACGATGCCAATCACCTTTAATTTAAAATCAAACATTATCTTCAATTTTGAGCGTTTGAAGTCTGTAAAGTGGAAACACCCAACTTGCTCAACACAATAAACGTTACTTTTGAGTCTTTTCATACTTTTTGAGGACTAAAGTGACACTAGGCCCAAAGAACAGTGTACTAATTGTAAATTTTTTCTAAGGTTGTATTTGGAAACCATGCAAATGGAGTGTAAATCCCGATTTAGGATAAAATTGTACTCTGGTTCACTTTTGCCTGTTTTGTAAGATTACATTTATGCATTGACAAATGACATACCAATGCATATTTATATTGATAATAAGATGTAAAAATATATCAATAAAATAGAAGTAAATTTGCATTCAAATCGACTTTTAATAAAAAAAATATGTTCTTTATTAAAATTCATGTTTGCATTCGTTACAGCTAAAAGTCTATTTGATAAAAAGATAAATTTATCTGTGCAAAACTAACTAATTTTACAATTTATATAACCATTTTACACTCTACATATTTACATTCACACTTATATCGTTTCACAATTATTTGCATCATTTTCAAACGGAGCCTAAAATTAAATTTTTATCAACCAAAATATTTTTTTGAGCATTGAAGTCAAACTGTTATAGTGAAACGGTTCCGTTTGCGGATCGTTTTTTAAAACATTAAGTTACTGACTCTATGCCTCACCGGTTTGCTGGTGGCGAGCCAGGTGGGTCCCTTTCGTGAATCGTGATTTAAGAGCATCATAATTGTAATTATTGGCAACTAACTGCAATAGTCGGTTTTTTGGGCTTGACTTCCAAACCTTGACCCGACATATAATTCGGGTTTTTGTCGGATCCGGCAGACACTTGTCAACCTCAACTCATTGGAGTGAGCCCTACGGTCGTGCATTGGATTTTGATTCAACGACGGCGCTCCTCTGTTATCAGATTGAAATCTCAACACCTATCCAAAAAAATGTGCTAGACGAAAGAGATCTAGGGATTCAGAGAAATGACAAATCCAATTGGAAATCCACCTTAAGCCAAATGCAGTACTCTTGGTGAATTGCACTGGGTTAACAATTACACTATTGGGCCCTACCACGTATTGGACATTGAGAGAATAGTAGCCTCTTCTTAATAGATGAGTCTCATTTCAAGTGTCTAAACTCTAAATATACAAAAGAACATTTATTTGAAAATACAAAAACAAAAGTTCACATGCAAATTTTGTGTTTTTGTAAATCAAACAAATGAGATATTATTCAAAAGCTGACCTTTGGCTCTATTAGGCCGTATTGAATGATGAATTTGAGCTGATTATGAATTCTTTGTCGAATTTGATCTTTTCAACTCCAATATAAGTCATTTCAGAGATGAAATTTGACTTCAAACTCCAAAATAGGAATTAGTCCTAGTTTTCTTTTCTTGTATGTCCAAACTTAAAAAGTGATTATTGACAGTAAGCAGAAATAGGTATTGCAGGTACCATTTCAATTTTTTGGCAAAATTTATGGTGCATCTGCTTTGTATTGTACAACAAAAAAGATAATTGGTTGAAGGTAAGTAAATCTTGTTAAATGTGAAAGTATATTTTGTAAGATGTAATTCAATAAAAAGTAAACGAATTTTAATATGATTAATTAAGATGTAGATTTAAGGTGCAATCACCACAGATGTGGATCTAATTCCTGCAACCACCAACCACCAACCACCAACTTTAAAAGATGATTGGTGCTGCTTAATTTATTCCCAATGTACAGTGTCGTTTTCGACTCTCTGTACAACCGCACTTCGCAAAAGCAATTTTGACCCGATGGACCAGACCCGACCTACTCTTTCCTTATCGTATCCCCCCCACTGCTCAAGTGCTCAACAACCAATTGGCATATATAGTCGGTGACTCGGTGGAGAGCTTCCTTCCCCAGTCAACGCGGGCGCAGAACAGCCAAATTAATGCCTTTAATGGAGAAAACCAGATCAATCCACTTTCATCCATCTGTTTCTCTGTCATCTGCATGGGATCCATCTTCCTCTCTGTCGCCACCTTCCTCCTCTCCTGCTCAATTTTCTCTGGCTTCTCCTTCTCCGCCCCCGTCAACCAGGAGTTCATCTACCCAAACTTCACCGCCTCCAACTTCCTGTTCATCGACAGCAGCGGCGTTTTCTTAGCCTCTCGCAATGAATCCTTTCAAGCCATCATATCCCAATCAGGACAAAGCAAAAACAATTTTTACTTCTACGTCCTCCACGTACCCTCCAACACCATCATCTGGACCGCCAACCGCGACGCCCCCATCTCGGAGTCCGGCAAGCTGAGCCTTACCGTCAACGGTCTCACCATCGTCGGAGACAATGGCACTCAAATATGGTCTACGCCGGCCTTGGGTTCACCCGTCACAGCCTTACAGCTTCTGGAGACAGGTAACCTGGTCCTGCTTGATAAATCCAACCGTTCTCTCTGGCAGAGTTTCGATTATCCCACAGATACAATCGTCATCGGACAACGGTTCCCCGTCGGCAAATCGCTGTCCAGCGCAACATCCCAAGATGATTTGTCAACCGCTGATTACCGGTTTTCACTCACCTCCGTTGATGGGTTGCTGCAATGGCATGGACTAATTTATTGGAGGCTGTCCATGGAGCCTAAGGCGTACAAAGATGTGAACTCTCCGGTGGCATATATGGCGATGAACGCCACCGGTCTATATCTGTTCGACGGCAATGGAGAGGTTGTGGTTCAGGTATCCCTATCTCAAGCAGATTTTCGAATTGCTAAGTTGGACTACGGAGGCCATTTTATTGTCCAGAGCTTTCTCAATGGCATGTGGAGCCCGGAACTCGAAGGGCCGGACAACGATTGTAAAATTCCCTTCTTCTGCAAAAGACTTGGACTGTGTAGACAAACCTCTGGGTCGAGATCCAGTACCTGTTCATGTCCGCCGGGCTTTCGCGTCGATACCCAGACGAACCAAGGTTGCATCCCAAGTGACAGCCATCTTAGCCTACCTTCTGCCTGTAATTCTACCGGAAATGGAAACAGTAGCCAATTGAATTCGTCAACAGTTTCATATATGAGTCTCGGCGCTAGTATAGACTACTTCGCCAATAGTTTCTTGGACCCATCGGCTTACAGCATCAATTTAACGGCCTGCAGAGATCTCTGCACGGAGAACTGTTCTTGCTCGGGCTTATTCTATGACAGTTCTTCTAGTTACTGTTATTTGCTTAACGACCAACTGGGGTCTTTTATGTCGAACACTGGAGGACAAAATGATCGGTTGGGTTACATCAAGGCGCTTGCTGTATCTTTGCCGGATGATAACAGCCTTGACAATCAAAGGAAACAGATTCCGTTGGTTGCTTTGGTTTTGTTACCTTTTACTGGGTTTACTCTGCTGGTAATGCTTCTGGTTCTGAGCTTCCTTTGGTGGAGAAGACGTGGTAAGCTTCCGAAAACTTCTGTGGTAAAATTAGGCAGCCTGAAATCCTCTCTTTCGGAGGACGAGCTTGAAGCACTTTCAATCCCAGGATTGCCGGTGAGGTTCGATTACGAAGAGATTGAAGCAGCAACTAATAATTTCAGCGAACAGATTGGGGCTGGCGGATTTGGAGCTGTATATAAGGGCGCCCTGCCCAATAAGACCCTCGTGGCTGTGAAGAAGATAACCAATTTAGGCGTCCAAGGGAAGAAAGAGTTCTGCACAGAGATTGCTACCATTGGAAACATCCACCATGTTAACTTGGTGAGGCTGAAAGGCTTCTGTGTCCAAGGCCGGCAGAAGCTGCTGGTGTACGAGTACATGAACCGAGGCTCACTGGACAGGATCCTCTTTGGTAATGGACCTGTCCTAGAATGGCAGGAAAGGGTTGACATAGCAGTCGGAGTGGCGCGCGGGCTGGCTTATTTACACAGTGGGTGTGATAACAAGATCATCCATTGCGACGTCAAGCCGGAGAACATTCTTCTGCATAGTCAGTTCCAGGTGAAGATCTCTGATTTTGGGCTTTCCAAGCTTCTCACCCCTGAGCAGTCTAGTCACTTCACCACAATGAGAGGGACACGGGGGTATCTCGCGCCTGAATGGCTGACAAGCTCTGCAATCACGGACAAGACCGATGTGTATAGCTACGGCATGGTTCTGCTTGAAATTGTGAGGGGAAGGAAGAATTGCTTACTGAGAACTGGGAGTTCTAGCTTAGAAAATGGCAGTAGCAGCGGTGGTCAGCCATCTTCATCGTCCTCCGGCATTGGGGCTGTTTATTTCCCACTGTTCGCGTTGGAGATGCATGAGCAAGGGCGGTATTTGGAGCTTGCGGATCCGAGGCTCGAGGGGCGAGTGACCAGTGAGGAGGTGGAGAAGCTTGTGCGCGTGGCCCTGTGCTGTGTGCAGGAGGAGCCAACTCTTAGGCCTAGCATGGTGAATGTGGTGAGCATGTTGGAAGGTGGGATGCCATTGGGTGAACCAAGGGTTGAGTCACTGAATTTCTTGCGATTCTATGGGCGAAGATTTGTGGAGAGCTCGACAATTCAGGGGCAGAATACAGGGGCTGAGTACATGCTTGACCCACAATCAAATGCTTCTGAGACAGGCACCGCCACTGCCTCAAATCCTTTTTTCTCTTACATGTCATCACAACAAGTCTCTGGTCCAAGATAGCAGAAGTGAAGGGTTTGGGTCATTGGGTGCGGCTTGTAAGTTTTGGTTGAGAGATGAGTGTATCTCAGAGTTTCATTCTGTTTTCGTTATATTTTCTGTTCAATTGCATTAGAGGATTCTGTATAGAAAGGTTTTCTGCCTGTATGGGTGAGGACTGGCTCCAAAACAAGCCACTTTTGGTGGTATTTGCTCCAAGACAAGGTTTTCTGGCTGTATGGGAAATCAATATAAGCCACTTTTGGCTCCAAAACAGCTATAAACTAGTCACTTCACAGATTATGATGGGTCTTTGATTGTAAATAATTCTTGTCCTAGTATACTAAGAATTAGTTAATTGGATACGTTGTTGGTGGTTATAATTGCATGATCAGATGTTCTTCATTTGTTTAATGAGTAACAATTAAGAATTCATCCACTTGTATGCATTTTAGATTATATTGATTTCCTGCTTTCAGAAACTTGCTAATAAAGTAATAATATTCAACCCGAATTTTATTATTTTGGGGCTCTCTCTTTCTCTGTCCTGATGACGCAGGTTTGACCATCACAAGTCCATTTCCTGTGAGCCTGTGGGCCTGTGGTTGGCCCTTGGGTTGAAGAGAGATTTATTCGGTATTGTGTTGGAGCTCTCTCACATCAAGCGATTGAAATGGCAAAAGCCCTTAAAAAGTTGAACCTTCATACTTGTTGGGCTTGTGTGGATCAGGTTCATGGGTAGTGCCCATGGAAGGTTTGATTTATGCGGCCAAATCAACAAGCCGTCCCGCCCAATTGCCCAAATAACACCGATGAGTCAAGATGGCTCGTGCGGTCCAGTCATTTCTCGCGGGTTGGGACTCGGTAGAAATACGAGTTCGCTCGTTCCAAGTTCCAACCATGGAAATCTACCTTCTACCAGAGATCGTTAACAAGGCAGTTAAGTTTTGAAGCAAATTGTTCTATTTGTGTTCTTTATGATCCTTCTCTGCATTCGCTTCCGTTTTGCCCTCTTACCGCTTGAATTTCCTCATCGGTGGAATCGCCTCATCACTTTTGCGAGAAGACAGATGCCTGGGCCGGCAGTCATTCTTCTCATTTGTGGCAAGCCTTTGTGGTTTCTGAGAATCATTACTTCTTCCGGCATTGTGGAATTGGATCCTGTTGGGATTGCTCGTGCCGTGTCATCATTCTCTGCTGGTGGAGGTGGAAGTACGATCATTCAACAGTTGAATACTTTCCCTACTCAGAGTCTTTTCTTAGGTACTATAAAGAAGTTAAGACTTTGCTGGATCTGCAACTAATCACTTGTCTTGAAAGATAGCTTTCTTAAACGTTGTCGAGTGCATATGTTCTTGCATGTTTCCACATATATTACATTGTGTTTGATGTTATCCCAAACACAACAATTTACTACTTGGACTTCCTAGACCTGTACTTCCATTCTATTGGTATGAGAGCAAAACAGAATATGGAATTCTGTCGAGTATTAGTTGATGTTTCCACTTCTTCACCGAGAGTCAGATATAGAATATGGTTCTCGTTATAGAATGAATGGTTGAACCAAGTAACAAGCCACATGTCATGTAAGGTGGTGGGTCTCACACTAGAGATAAAAGAGAAACAAGTGCAGAGAGCACACATAGATTTACATGGTTCGGTTTATAGCTTAACAAAAATCTACTATGAAATTGGCAATGGAGAAAAAATATAGAGTTGTGCCTTCACAAAAATTCTAAGCCCCAAATACACCCAAGGTCTTACACGTTTCTTACAAAACTAAGACTGTATATAAGAGAAAAAACCCCGAAAATACATAATTTTTTGTATTCGATTTGGACTTATAAGATAAATATGGATCAGGTCCATATTACCATAAAAATTTGCCTTAGGGTTTTTTTTCTCAAATTAATTCAGAGCAATTTCATGAAACGAGTTGCCATAAAAGAATTCAAGGTACACATAACATGATGAGATTCGTTACGCCACATTCTATGATCCTATCCAATGAACCAAGAAACCAAAAGAAAAAATGATTCCTTACATATACAACTAATGAGTGAGGTCGTTTTCTTTGGCCTTTAGTTCATCACCAACGAAACCCACCCAACAAAGAATATCGCATTCATAGTGTGCCCACGGTATTTGCTTCTTAAAAGAGTGCAAGCGGTCTAAGGTGGGAGTATATACAACATCCCCAAGCATGGTCCTCACGGATTTTCTTCTGAGGTATTTTATTACATTTGTTATTTCCTGCTACTAATGTTATTGTAGCCTTTGCTGTTAGATCAATATCTTGAATTCTAAGATTGCAAGGATGCAACTGCTTAATCTACTACATTAAGGGTTAAGAATTCAAAATTCAGGTCTCGGCCCAGCCCATGATCATACGTAATAATACACTGCTTGTTTGGAAGTTTGGTTGAAAGGATATTTTGGAATCACCAAACCCGGATGGTAATACTAATAGCTTTAAGTATGTTGCAAAACGCAAATAATTAGATTGTTCTTTTTCTTAAGAAGAAATGGATAGAAATGTGGGTTAAAACCTATTGCTAGCCTGGTACCATAATGCTTTCAATACATGAATCCTTAAACTTGAAGTGTCAGGTTTTGATGGGGAAACATCTAGAATTGCAACATATATAAGCTAGAGAATTCTAAGCAAGAGAGACCCTGTTCGAACAACCAAGGGGGTTTTGATTTGACAATTTCTTTTATTTAAAAAAAACAAAAGAAAAGTGCTTATTGGCAGCTACCTGTTTCCAAATGACTAAGTTTTTTGCATTTTGATTAGAAAAAAGTTTTTTTTTTTTGCTTGGCTTATTGCATTGCAGGAAATGTGGCACCTATAAGCAGTTTATTAGGTATTACCACAAAAAATGTTTTCTTAGTACATTTCAGGATGTTGAATAACTTCTGATGTGGACTAGCCAGGCCCAAACCATTACAAGCTGAGAGGCCCGGCCCACTAACGCCTGACAGCACCAGCCATAGCAGAGGGAAGTCTTGCTACCTTCATATGAAGCCAATCACGGAGCAGTTAGGCGTATTTGCAAGGACTTGTTGCCTGGCTTCGTACGACTTTCATCTGGTGCGTTCATCTCCACCTGCCTCCTGCTCGCTCAAGTATAAATATGAGGTAGCTCTCCCTTGACAAGGGGCTAGATCCCATAATCCTGATCCAGCTTCTGCATTTACTTCCAGTGCCTTCAATTAAATTCTTGCACATACTTTGCTTCATTAGCATTTACCCTTGGGAATCTAGTGCACCCGAGGACAACTACTGAGACCTCGTTTGCACCTTCCCCTGCCTTGCACCTCGTATTAACTTGAGTGTCGGAGCCACGGCCTTGGGTTTCCACTTGAGGCCTTTGATATCTCTTGTTTTGCAATACCTCAGATCTCCAAGAACCTTGTCACCAAGTCGACGGGCTACAATTCTTAGCTTCTATTGTACTCAAAAGGGAGCATCTCACCTCGGCCTACAATCCTTGGCCTTGGCTTACCCTCTTCTGAATTCTCAAAGCCTTCGGCTTGCCTTCGGAACTTGGAAGCGAGTTTACCTTGTTGCCCACGGCTAATCTGGGCAGCAATAATTGGCGCTATCTATGGGAAGCAATGCTGAGGCGATTCCCTAGAACTCATAAGCAGAAAAATCTCTAAGTCCTCTTAGGTTCGAAAGTTATGGTGCGAAGAACCAGGAACAACCAAAACCTGGCCACCTATGAGAAGTTTCAGGCAGTCCTTGATCATTTAGAATGCCTCACTCAGTGTGTAGAAGGTCTGCCCTCGAGCAGGTGGTCCCTCTCGAGGCGACCACCCCGTTGGGCGAGAATCAGTTGACAGAACAATCAGAGTCAGGCAATAGTTGACACCTCAGTCCACCTCAGAGGCATGTCCGACTTCCCAGCCGAAGAGAAGAAGTGCCCACACGATCCAAAGACAGCCACAGCCTTCGGAGCAACATCATCGCCATCGAAGGGAGATCCCAAGGGATGGTGGCAGACATCTCGACCGCCTGGAGTTTGCTCCCGCGGTGAGAGCTGACGTCGCGCCACTCTCCCTCCTATCTCAAATCTTCGGGACATTTTGAATGATCGTCACACCTATGAGGAAGTGCACGGATCGGCTTCGGAGTGCTCGAGAATCCAAGTTGATACCCACCAAGTCCCAAAAGACGGAAGCAGGGCCCACGCCCCTGTCGATCCAGGTTTGCTAAACTGCGAGCCGAGCTCGAGGCCATTAGAGATGAGCTCCGCCAAGTCAAGGAGAGCTGAACTGATGCCTCTACTAGTCACAACAATTCTCTCGGCCGCATGGACGCATTTACCCCGGAAATCATTTCGAAACCTCTCCCCCCGCACTTCAAGTCTCCTACTTTGGAGATGCACGATGGCTCCTCGGACCCTGGCGACCACTTGGAAAGTTTTAGAGAGCTCATGATACTCTACGAGTATTTCGACGCCATGACGTGTTGGACTTTCCAGGCCGCCTTCAAGGGGGCAGCACGCCGCTAGTTCTCTAGCCTCCCCCTGAGGTCAATTAGTTTGTGGGAGCAATTCACCAACATGTTCCTCGCCCGCTTCATCAGTAGCAGACGGTGCCAGAAGAGCGTCGTCTTGCTCATGTCCATCAAACAGAAACCGGGTGAAAGCTTGCGGTCTTATATCGACCACTTAAAAAAGGAAGAGCTCGAGGTTAGGGACCTCGACCCCATGGTCTCAATGCATGCTGCCATCAACGGGCTTGAAGATGGCTCTGCCCTCAAGTGCTCGGTCACCAAAACCCCGCCGAGGACATTGTTGGAGTTCCTCAAAAAGGCCACCTCTTTCGCCAGGGACTACCAGGAGAAGGAGACTGAGTGTAGAGGTGGGCCCTCGGGGAGGAAAAGGAAGAATGAAGACTGCCAAGCTGATGGCAACAAAGATAGTAGGAAGCCATCAGTCCCAACCATGGCTTATAACCAATATATGCCATTCAACTTCTCCAGGACTCAAATCCTAATGCAGATAGGCAAGGAGAAGTTTGTGAAGTGGCCAAAGAAGATGAAGAGGAACCCCAAGAGGGGGAACCCTAAAAAGTACTACAAGTTTCACTGCGGTGTCGCCCACGACACCGAGGACTGCTATGAGTTAAAGAACGAAATAGAGTCACTCATCCGTCATGGGAATTTGAATCAATTCATCAAGTGTGAAGCCGGTGCTTCATCCTCCCAACAGTAGCAACAGCAGTAACAACACCAACACGTTGTCAGAGTCATCAACGTCATCGTCAGGGGCTCGACCTTGGGTGGGGACTTGGCCTCGGCCTGCAAGGCCTACACCAGGTAGTTGAACATCCAAGGGCCAACCCCCAAGAAG